AATGAAGATGACGAATGATCGCTCTTCATCGATTCGTGAGTTAATTCTTGACGAAGACTTCCATTGGTATATCTAGGTGCTATGGTGCTACCGAAATCAGCTGATTCTTTTAATTCCTTCCGTTCCATTAAAGCCTTTTCAAAATCTAGATCAGCTTCGTCAACATATTTTTTAGTATCATGTTTCTCTCCGTAACCACCAGCGTACTCTTTCTCAACGGTAAATTTCTTGAAAGTGAAGTCACCTGGAGTGGAAATGGGATCACTGCTCTTGTGCAAACCACTTTCTTGGAACGTCTTCATCGCCGGAGGTACAGCTGGTAATTCGCCATAAAAGCTACTGCTCATGGCCGCAGTAGAAAATTCGATGGGTTTGTGCGTTTCTTCTTCCTTCTTCGAAGAACTCTCGTACTGTTTCGATTGTGGAGAATAGCCGAGTTGTGATGTCGAAGAAAGAGGAGAACTAGGTGGTTCGTCGTCGGAATAAGTCATTCGTCTTTCTTCGCTGCTACCAAGGACATGAGTTGAGGCTTTAGTATGAATACTGCTCTGATCACTACGAGGACTAGCTGGTTTTATATTGTCCTTGTCACTGCTGGCATCAGAACTGGCACTCCCTGTTCGTTGTAACTCCGTTGAACCTTTTATGCTACCAATTGCGCTACTGGAATAAAATTTTGTAATAAGAATAAATAATAATGAATTATAAATCGTTCATTATGAAATTAAGAACAAAAATATTTTGTTTTATAATTAAAAAGGTACTTAGATTACTATACTTGGCTACTTAGATATATCATTGAAAAAATAGATTAGAAAATAAAAGACTTTGATTTACCTGATCGCCATTTCTGCAGTATCCTTGGTTGGCAAACGATCATCAACCTTAACATCAGTTTTCTCAGCCAAAATTATCGTTTCACCTTTCTCATTGGTAGCCTCCGTAACTTCTTTAGTAGTTGTAATGATCTCACCATCGTCTGACATAGTTCTGGTCGTGGTAATGATCGTTCGAATTACTTCGCCTGATCTAAATCCTTCAGGCGTCGCGGTCGTCGATCGACCTTCTGATCTTCTATCAGGTGTGGACCTTCCAGATACAAGTGGTTGTACTGCTGCACCGTCCCTAACCAATGGAGAAACTGGAATATCCGGAGTTGATTTGCCAGTAGAGCCACTATAAACGATGTCCTTTGGCAAGGATATATCCGGTGAGGATTTTCCTGAATAACTTTTCTCGTCTGATACCAAATCACGTACCGATGGTGATACCGAATGTTCTAATTTTCCAACCTTTTCCAAATGATCTTTTCCAATGATATCCGACTTCTCTTCAAATTTCGAATCAGGAGTCGATTTACCAGAATCATAGAAAGTTTTTACATCTGGTGTCGATGTACCAGATGTTGACGTCATCGTAGTTATTGTTTCCTTGATAACCTTCTCCATTTTCGATCCTTCAGTAGTTTTCGTCTCAGTCGTTGTGACTTTACCAGTCTTTTCACTAATAGTAGAATCAATGAGTTTCTCTAAGAGTTCTTCGCTATCAACAGTATCGCTACTTTCCTTTACGTCTTTCTTTGTTGTAACTTTGCCATCAGGCTCGGTAATCGTCGTAACTGTTGTTACGATTCTTTTAACCTCGGCACTCTTCGAAACTTCTGGCGTACTATCTCGACTGATTACTTTATAGGTAGCACCTAAACTAGATGTATCAATCTTCTCTAATGTACCTTCATGTGATATCGTATACGTGTAAAGTTCTGGTTTTTCCAGATCGGAAGTAGATATTTTTGATGTTGGAAGTTCCTCTGTAACAATCGTTCTCGTGGTCTTTGTTGTTATTGTTTCAACTGATTCTGGCTTTTCCTCTCTACTAATTACTCTTTTCACGATCTCGTGATCCTGGAAATCAGACATTTTCTCTTCTGGAATAATGATTTCTCTCTTGATCACTTTGGTAATTACTTCAGGTTCGTCTTCTTCGATTATTTCTCGTTTCACTATCTTGGTTATAATTTCTGACTCACTTTCATCTTCGATCACATCACGTTTCACGATCTTCGTCGTTATTCGAGATTCAGTTTGGTCTACCGTTTCTTTCTTTAACGTTTCATCGATACTTTCTGGTTCTTCTTGCTCGATTATTTCTCTTTTTTTAATTACTTTCGTTACGATTTCTGGTTCTTCCTCTTCGATAATTTCACATTTGATTATTTTTCTGATCACTTGTTCGTCTTCTTTTTGCTTTTCATCTTTCTCAGGAGGAATTTCTTGTTCACCGATTCTACTCTCCTTTAATATTTCAACTTTTTGAACAGTTATCTCACCCTTAGAAATCAGAATTTGTTGTTTGTCAGGTGAAATTCGATCAACTAGTCTTATTCCTTTATCATCCGTTCTTTCAACGGTGGATCCAGTAGGTTCAGACGTTGAGTCAGGTGTACCGTCACGAGTAGCAAAATCTGGAGTCGATTTTCCAGACAATGTTGTTATATGAGTCGTACGAATTTCTGTCATTCCACCAACGAAAGCTTTGTGAAATTGACTCTCGTAATCTAACGGATAACTTGGAATAGATTTTTCCATTTGTCTACCAGCTGATTCCGCATATCCTCCTAATCTGTACTCACCAGACATTTTTCTATCAGCTTCGGAGAGTCCTACTTCTGATGACTTTTCGTATTGATATTCGAGTTTATCGTAACTTTCAGGTTCGTCCTCGTGATAGATTTCAACATCAATTATAGATTTACGTGATAGTTTTTTCTTGATAATTATTTCTTCGATGATTTCGAGGATAATGTATCTTGGTAAAGAAGTTCTCACGATTATTTCCTCCAGAATAATTTCGGTTATTTTTCGTCCTTTCTTAATATATTCTTCTTCCAGAAATTGTTCAATCTCGGTACGTTTCTCTTCAGAAATCGAAATTTCTTCGTCGATGTGTGGCTCTGAATGAACCGGACTATCTTGAGTGGATTTGTCCGAAGGGATTGGTTCCGAACTCAAACTTGGGCTCTTTGAATCTCGTACACTCTTATCGTGCTCTTCGTCCTTCTCTTTTTTTTTAGCAAGTCCTTCATCTTCCGGTGTCTTTCTTAATGATTCTTGTAAAATCTCAGCATCCATAATGAAGCCACTTGGAATTTTTCTTCTTACAGTTATCTCTTGGATTATCATGATGAGGAAATTTCGAGGAATACCTTTCAGAGAAACGATCTCCTCTAGAATCTTACTAGTGATCTTTTTATTTTTATCAACGTATTCACTGATGATATAATTTTCAACCTCTCTCATTTTTTCAGTTGACACCAGTTTTATTCCCACTGGCATCGATTTTGACTTCTCATCGGATTCCTCGTCGACAAAGTCCAATACTGATTCCTTACGAAGATTTCTTCGTTTTAGAATATCTTCTATAATGTCCATCACTGTAAATTCTGGTACCGCATAAGTAAGAACGATTATTTCTATCGCAGATATTGTAATCTTTTGTTTTTTGTTCAAGAACTCATCGACGATATACTTTTCAATGTCTGCTACCTTTTCGGCAGTCACTTTAATAATATCGTCTGCCTCATCTTCGAATTTATCTTGTTTGGGAAGTCGTTTAGCATCTTTAGCTTGACTAGTTCTCTTAGAATAAACTTCTTCAAATTCTTCGTGAATCGATCCGGTAATACCAATTGTACTTCTTTTTTGTCTATCTTTATACTCAAATTCTTCTTCCTCTTCTTCTTCTTCATCTTCTTCTTCTAATGGTTTTTTCTTTTCTTCTTCATCGTAAGTCGTTTTTACCCCTTCTTGAAGGTTTAACTTGTCTGGTATCTTATCCTCGTACAAACTTGCTGCACGAGAACGAGTCGTTGGTGTTTTCTCTCCTGGTTCAAATAAACTATGCGATCGTGACCTGTCTTTTGGAACGTTCTCGTCCACATCATCTTTCAATAAACGTGCTTCGATTTCGTATTTTTTCTCACTTCCGGTCGGTGACCTGATTTTATCTTCTATTTCCGGCGATATTGATTTTCGTAATTTTCCACTTTCTGGAGTTGGAGATCTTTCTCTCCTTTCGCTCTCTGGAGAAGACTTCACAGTTTCTGATAAAGGTAACTTTTGTTTTTCCTTTTCTGTCATTGTCGATAATGATTTTTCTTTTTCTTTCTCCAAAGATGGAGATTTCTCCTTTTCTACTGTTATTGGTTTCTGCTTATCTACTTCAGATATAAGAGATTTTTCCTTCTCCGATTCTAAGAATATAAGTTTCTCTGATTTCTCTGCTTCCGGTAAAAGAGACTTCTGTTTTTCTATTTCTGGAGATAACGATTTTTGCTTTGCATCTTCCAACAAAGGAGATTTATCTTTCTCCGTTTTCGCAGAAGGAGTCTTTTGTTTCTCTACTTCTAACGCCAGAGATTTTTCTTTCTCTACTTCTGGAGACAGTGATTTTTGTTTTTCCGGCTCTGCGGCTGGAGATTTTTCCTTCTCTGATACTGGTGAAGGAGATTTTTGTTTTTCTGGTTCAGTTACAGGTGATTTTTCTTTTTCCAGTACGGGTGAAGGCGATTTTTGTTTTTCTGATTCAACTGATGGTGATCTTTCCTTTCCTACTTCAGGTGATGGTGATTTCTGTTTTTCTGACTCTGTTGCAGGTGATTTTTCCTTTTCCAACACGGGTGAAGGTGATTTTTGTTTTTCTGATTCAATTGACGGTGATTTATCCTTTCCTACTTCAGGTGATGGTGATTTCTGTTTTTCTGACTCTGTTGCAGGTAATTTTTCCTTTTCCGATATTGGTGAAGGCGATTTCTGTTTATCTGCTTCTACAGTAGGAGATTTCTCCTTTTCCGATACTGGTGAAGGAGATTTTTGTTTTTCTGGTTCAGCTACAGGAGATTTTTCCTTTTCCGGTACAGGTGAAGGCGATTTCTGTTTATCTGCTTCTACAGCTGGAGATTTCTCCTTTTCTGATACTGGAGAAGGAGATTTTTGTTTTTCTGGTTCAGCTACAGGTGATTTTTCCTTTTCCGGTACGGGTGAAGGCGATTTCTGTTTATCTGGTTCTGCAGCTGGGGATTTTTCCTTTTCTGATACTGGTGAAGGAGATTTTTGTTTTTCTGGTTCCAATACAGGAGATTTTTCCTTTTCCAATACGGGTGAAGGCGATTTCTGTTTATCTGCTTCTGCAGCTGGAGATTTCTCCTTTTCTGATACTGGTGAAGGAGATTTTTGTTTTTCTGGTTCAGCTACAGGTGATTTTTCCTTTTCTGATACTGGTGAAGGCGATTTCTGTTTATCTGGTTCTGCAGCTGGGGATTTTTCCTTTTCTGATACTGGTGAAGGAGATTTTTGTTTTTCTGGTTCCAATACAGGAGATTTTTCCTTTTCCAATACGGGTGAAGACGATTTCTGTTTATCTGCTTCTGCAGCTGGAGATTTCTCCTTTTCTGATACTGGTGAAGGAGATTTTTGTTTTTCTGGTTCAGCTACAGGTGATTTTTCCTTTTCCGGTACGGGTGAAGGCGATTTCTGTTTATCTGCTTCTACAATTGGAGATTTTTCCTTCTCTGATACTGGTGAAGGAGACTTTTGTTTTTCTGGTTCAGCTACAGGTGATTTTTCCTTTTCTGATACTGGTGAAGGAGATTTTTGTTTATCTGCTTCTACAGCTGGAGATTTCTCCTTTTCTGATACTGGAGAAGGAGATTTTTGTTTTTCTGGTTCCGATACAGGTGATTTTTCCTTTTCTGATACTGGTGAAGGAGATTTTTGTTTTTCTGCTTCTGCAGCTGGAGATTTTTCCTTCTCTGATACTGGTGAAGGAGATTTTTGTTTTTCTGGTTCCGATACAGGTGATTTTTCCTTTTCTGATACTGGTGAAGGAGATTTTTGTTTATCTGCTTCTACAGCTGGAGATTTTTCCTTTTCTGATACTGGAGAAGGAGATTTTTGTTTTTCTGGTTCCGATACAGGTGATTTTTCCTTTTCCGATACGGGTGAAGGCGATTTCTGTTTATCTGCTTCTGCAGCTGGAGATTTCTCCTTTTCTGATACTGGTGAAGGAGATTTTTGTTTTTCTGGTTCAGCTACAGGTGATTTTTCCTTTTCTGATACTGGTGAAGGAGATTTTTGTTTTTCTGCTTCTATAGCTGGAGATTTCTCCTTTTCTGATACTGGAGAAGGAGATTTTTGTTTTTTTGGTTCCAATACAGGAGATTTTTCCTTTTCCAATACGGGTGAAGGCGATTTCTGTTTATCTGCTTCTGCAGCTGGAGATTTCTCCTTTTCTGATACTGGTGAAGGAGATTTTTGTTTTTCGGGTTCAGCTACATGTGATTTTTCCTTTTCTGATACTGGTGAAGGAGATTTTTGTTTATCTGCTTCTACAGCTGGAGATTTTTCCTTTTCTGATACTGGAGAAGGAGATTTTTGTTTTTCTGGTTCCGATACAGGTGATTTTTCCTTTTCCAATACGGGTGAAGGCGATTTCTGTTTATCTGCTTCTGCAGCTGGAGATTTCTCCTTTTCTGATACTGGTGAAGGAGATTTTTGTTTTTCTGGTTCAGCTACAGGTGATTTTTCCTTTTCTGATACTGGTGAAGGAGATTTTTGTTTATCTGCTTCTGCAGCTGGAGATTTCTCCTTTTCTGATACTGGTGAAGGAGATTTTTGTTTTTCTGGTTCAGCTACAGGTGATTTTTCCTTTTCTGATACTGGTGAAGGCGATTTCTGTTTATCTGGTTCTGCAGCTGGGGATTTTTCCTTTTCTGATACTGGTGAAGGAGATTTTTGTTTTTCTGGTTCCAATACAGGAGGTTTTTCCTTTTCCAATACGGGTGAAGACGATTTCTGTTTATCTGCTTCTGCAGCTGGAGATTTCTCCTTTTCTGATACTGGTGAAGGAGATTTTTGTTTTTCTGGTTCAGCTACAGGTGATTTTTCCTTTTCTAATACTGGTGAAGGCGATTTCTGTTTATCTGGTTCTGCAGCTGGGGATTTTTCCTTTTCTGATACTGGTGAGGGAGATTTTTGTTTATCTGCTTCTGCAGCTGGAGATTTCTCCTTTTCTGATACTGGTGAAGGAGATCTTTCTTTTTGTACCTCTGATGTAGAAGATTCATCTTTTTGTTCTTCAGGAGTAGAAGGCTTTGTTTTTTTATCTTCTATCATAAAGGATTTGTCTTCTTCAGGTGATAGCGATTTTTGCTTTTCTGATGGAATAGCTATTTCCTTTTTCATAATAGGCGAAACAGATTTTTCTTTTTCTTTTTCAGGTGACAATGCTTTCTCCTTTTCAACTTCTGGTACTGCAGATTTTTCCTTCTCTATCTCTGGCGAAAGTGATTCTTCTTTTTCTTTCTCTGGTGAAAGAGACTTCTGTTTTTCTGTTTCTAATCCTGGAGATTTTTCTTTTTCTATTACTAGTGATGGAGATTTTTCTTTTCCAATTTCTGAAAGAAGAGTTTTGCCTTTTTCTAATTCTGGAGAAAGTGATTTTTCTTTTTCTAATTCCGGGGAAAGTGATTTTTCCTTTACTGATTCTGGTGTAGGAGATTTCTGCCTCTCTCCCTCTAAAGCAGGAGATTTTTCCTTTTCTACTTGTGGTGAAATTGATTTGTCTTTTTGTATTTCTGCTGGTGGAGATATTTCTTTTTCTGCCTCTGGTGTAGGAGATTTTTGCTTCTCTGTTAATGTCATTAGTGATTTTGCTTTTTCTGTTTCTTTCTCTGGTAAAGGCGCTTTATCTTTTTGTAGTTCTGGCGTCAAAGACTTCTCTTTTCCCGTCTCTAGTACTAAAGATTTTTCTTTTTCTTTTTCTGGGGAAAGTGATTTTTCTTTTGGTGCTTCTGGTGTAAGAGATTTCTGTTTTTCCATTTCTAATGCAAGAGACTTCTCCTTCTCTGCATCTGGTGAAGCGGATTTTTCTTTTTGGAGTTCTGGGGTAGGAGACTTTTGTTTCTCCATCTCTGTTACTGGAGATTTTTCTTTCTCTGCTTCTAACGAAGGTGACTTTTCTTTTTGAATTTCCGATATTGGAGATTTTGCTTTCTGTACTTCTGGTGTTAACGACTTTTCTTTCTCTATATCTGGTGATGGTGATTTTTCCTTTTCTGCTTCTAACGAAGGTGACTTTTCTTTATGTATTTCCGGTGTCGGCGATTTTTCTTTCTGTATTTCAGGTGATGGTGATTTTTCCTTTTCTGTTTCTAACGAAGGAGATTTTTCTTTTTGTATTTCCGGTGACGGCGATTTTTCTTTTTGTAATTCAGGTGATGGCGATTTTCCTTTTTCTGCTTCTAACGAAGACGATTTTTCTTTCTGTATTTCAGGTGATGCCGATTTTTCCTTTTCTGCTTCTAACGAAGGTGACTTTTCTTTTTGTATTTCCGGGGACGGTGATTTTTCTTTCTGTATATCTGGTGATGGCGATTTTTCTTTTTCTGCTTCTAACGAAGGTGACTTTTCTTTTTGTATTTCTGGTGACGGCGATTTTTCTTTCTTTATATCAGGTGATGGTGATTTTTCCTTTTCTGCTTCTAATGAAGGAGACTTTTCTTTCTGTAATTCCGGTGTCGGCGATTTTTCTTTTTGTATTTCAGGTGATGGTGATTTTTCCTTTTCTGCTTCTAACGAAGGAGACTTTTCTTTTTGTATTTCCGGTGAAGGCGATTTTTCTTTCTTTATATCTGGTGATGGTGATTTTTCCTTTTCTGCTTCTAATGAAGGAGATTTTTCTTTTTGTATTTCCGATGAAGGCGATTTTTCTTTCTTTATATCAGGTGATGGTGATTTTTCCTTTTCTGCTTCTAATGAAGGAGATTTTTCTTTTTGTAATTCCGGTATCGGCGATTTTTCTTTTCGTATTTCAGGTGATGGCGATTTTTCCTTTTCTGATTCTAACGAAGGAGACTTTTCTTTTTGTATTTCCGGTGAAGGCGATTTTTCTTTCTTTATATCAGGTGATGGTGATTTTTCCTTTTCTCCTTCTAATGAAGGAGACTTTTCTTTTTGTAATTCCGGTGTCGGCGATTTTTCTTTCTGTAGATCAGGTGATGGTGATTTTTCTTTTTCTGGTTCTAACGAAGGAGACTTTTCTTTTTGTATTTCCGGGGAAGGCGATTTTTCTTTTTGTATTTCAGGTGATGGCGATTTTTCCTTTTCTGCTTCTAATGAAGGTGACTTTTCTTCTTGTAATTCCGGTGTCGGTGACTTTTCTTTCTGTAGATCAGGTGATGGTGATTTTTCCTTTTCTGCTTCTAATGAAGGAGACTTTTCTTTTTGTATTTCCGGTGACGGCGATTTTTCTTTCTTTATATCAGGAGATGGTGATTTTTCCTTTTCTGCTTCTAATGAAGGAGACTTTTCTTTTTGTATTTCCGGTGATGGCGATTTTTCTTTTTGTGTTTCAGGTGTCGGCGATTTCCCTTTTTGTATTTCAGGTGATGGTAATTTTCCTTTTTCTGCTTCTAATGAAGGAGACTTCTCTTTTTGTATTTCCTGTGATGGCGATTTTTCTTTTTGTATTTCCGGTGACGGCGGTTTTTCTTTCGGTATATCAGGTGATGGTGATTTTTCTTTTTCTGCTTCTAACGAAGGAGACTTTTCTTTTTGTACTTCCGGTGTCGGCGATTTTTCTTTTTGTATTTTAGGTGATGGCGATTTTTCCTTTTCTGCTTCTAACGAAGGAGACTTTTCTTTTTGTATTTCCGGTGAAGGCGATTTTTCTTTCTTTATATCAGGTGATGGTGATTTTTCTTTTTCTGCTTCTAACGAAGGAGACTTTTCTTTTTGTAATTCCGGTATCGGCGATTTTTCTTTTTGTATTTCAGGTGATGGCGATTTTTCCTTTTCTGCTTCTAACGAAGGAGACTTTTCTTTTTGTATTTCAGGTGTTGGTGATTTTTCTTTCTTTATATCAGGTGATGGTGATTTTTCCTTTTCTGCTTCTAATGAAGGAGACTTTTCTTTCTGTAATTCCGGTGTCGGCGATTTTTCTTTTTGTATTTCAGGTGATGGCGATTTTTCCTTTTCTGCTTCTAACGAAGGAGACTTTTCTTTTTGTATTTCCGGTGAAGGCGATTTTTCTTTCTTTATATCAGGTGATGGTGATTTTTCCTTTTCTGCTTCTAATGAAGGAGACTTTTCTTTTTGTATTTCCGGTGAAGGCGATTTTTCTTTCTTTATATCAGGTGATGGTGATTTTTCCTTTTCTGCTATTAATGAAGGAGACTTTTCTTTCTGTAATTCCGGTGTCGGCGATTTTTCTTTTTGTATTTCAGGTGATGGTGATTTTTCCTTTTCTGCTTCTAACGAAGGAGACTTTTCTTTTTGTATTTCCGGTGAAGGCGATTTTTCTTTCTTTATATCTGGTGATGGTGATTTTTCCTTTTCTCCTTCTAATAAAGGAGACTTTTCTTTTTGTATTTCCGGTGACGGCGATTTCTCTTTTTGTATTTCAGGCGATGGTGATTTTTCCTTTTCTGCTTCTAACGAAGGAGACTTTTCTTTTTGTATTTCCGGGGAAGGCGATTTTTCTTTTTGTATTTCAGGTGATGGCGATTTTTCCTTTTCTGCTTCTAACGAAGGTGATTTTTCTTTTTGTATTTCCGGTGACGGCGATTGCTCTTTTTGTATTTCAGGCGATGGTGATTTTTCCTTTTCTGCTTCTAATGAAGGTGACTTTTCTTCTTGTAATTCCGGTGTCGGCGACTTTTCTTTCTGTAGATCAGGTGATGGTGATTTTTCCTTTTCTGCTTCTAATGAAGGAGACTTTTCTTTTTGTATTTCCGGTGACGGCGATTTTTCTTTCTTTATATCAGGTGATGGTGATTTTTCCTTTTCTGCTTCTAATGAAGGAGACTTTTCTTTTTGTATTTCCGGTGACGGCGATTTTTCTTTCTTTATATCAGGTGATGGTGATTTTTCCTTTTCTCCTTCTAATGAAGGTGACTTTTCTTTTTGTAATTCCGGTGTCGGCGATTTTTCTTTTTGTATTTCAGGTGATGGCGATTTTTCCTTTTCTGCTTCTAACGAAGGTGATTTTTCTTTTTGTATTTCCGGTGACGGCGATTTCTCTTTTTGTATTTCAGGCGATGGTGATTTTTCCTTTTCTGCTTCTAACGAAGGTAATTTTTCTTTTTGTATTTCAGGTGATGGTGATTTCTCCTTTTGTTCTTCTGGTGTAGGAGATTTTGATTTATCTATTTCATGTAAAGGTAATTTTTCTGTCTTTGTTTCCGGCGAAGGTGATTTTTGTTTTTCTACTTCTGGCGAAATAGACTTTTCTTTTTCTACTTCTGTCGAAATTGATTTCTGTTTTTCCGATTCAAGAGTTAGTGATTGTGATGGTTTTTCTATTTCCGGAGAAAGTGACTTTTCTTTTAGAACTTCCGGAGAAGGAGATTTTTCTTTCTTTTCAGTTTCTGGGGTTGGTGATTTCGGCAGTTTTTCAGACTTTGGTAAAAGTAATTCTTGTTTATCTACTTCGATTGAAAGTGATTTTTCCAGTCTTTCTACTTCCAGTGAAACAGATGTTTGTTTCTCTGTTTCTAGCGGTAATACCTTTTCTATTTTTTCTATTTCCGGCGAAGCTGACTTTCTTGATTTCTCAACTTCTGGCAATTTTTCTTGTTTGATAGTTTCTGGAGATGGTGACTTTTGTTTATCCTTTTCCAGTAAAGGTTCTTTTTCTAATTTATCAATGACTTCTTTAGCAGATACTTCGCTGACGATACTAGCCGACCTAGACTTATCATCGATTTTAACCTCCGCGACACTCGGTGTCCTTGAGCGATCTTCAGTTAGTTTGGCATCGACTATTATCGCCCCTTCGATATCTTTCTTAGGACTATGAAATTCTTCAGATTTGACAGGCGATTTCAAATCCTCCTTTTCTTTCGTACGATCTAGCTTTTCGATCGTAGTACTAGGAGAGGTTGATTCAACACTTTCCTTGCTAAGACTCTTATCTTCAGTGAAACTAGGTGAACGAGACTCGTCGATTGCGTCCTCATAATGTTCTCGTTCACTACTTTTGTCGTCCGGTTTTTTATCATCAGATTTATCACTACTAATACTTGAAGATTTACTTCTATCGATTTCGATCTTTTCGGAAACATCAATAGATTTTTCTAAATCTGCCATAGGCTTTTGATCATCAGTAAAGCTCGTTACGCTAAGAGATCTCGATTTATCTTCTACTTTCTGTTCCTTTTCCACGATTTGTGATGTTTCCAAAGTAATATCAATTGATTCTCTTTTACTGATCGATTCCTTTCGTACTCCGATGTCTTTTAATTCCTCAAGGTCAGGTTTTTCACTAGAAATGCTAGGAGATTTTGACTTCTCCGATGGTTCTTTGATTTCACTGGTAATACTTATGACACTGCCAGAACGATCTTCACGGATTGGTCGTTCAATAATCACGTCTTTGAGATCCACTTTATCATCACTGATACTTGACAATTTCGATTTATCAAGGACTTCTTCGACATCTTTAAGATCCAATTTTTCTCCAGCAATACTTGGAGATATACTTGGTGATTTACTTCTATCGGATTCTTTGGTTTCAATAGATTTTTCTATGACGTCACTGATCTCAGATTTTTCTCCAACAATACTAGACGATTTCGAACGGTCTTCGATACTTGGAGATTTCTTATCCAACGATTTATCACTGATGACACTGGGTGATTTAGCTCTTTCTATCGATTCCTCTACCTTCGATTCGATCGTGATTCCTGTTAAACTTATTTTTTCATCAATAATACTCGGGGATTTTGATTTACTATCAGCGAAACTTACGGGGCTAAGTGATTTTTCTTTTTCGGCAAGTTTCTCTGTTATTTCTTTAGTGTCCAATTTTTCGTCCGAAATGCTAGGTGATTTTTGCAATTCGCTTAATGCTTTCTCTTCAGATTTTTCGCTGGTTATACTAGGTGATTTACTTCTTTTGATGTCATCTTCTAATTTTTCAGTTATGCTTGGTGATTTCGATAAATCGATCGTTCCTTTGTCTTCGATTGTACTTTCGACGCTAGGTGATCTTGACTTATCGATAACCTTGACGTCTTCTTTCTCTTCCATAGTCACTGGAGATACTTCACTCGATTTCTTTTCTTCGGTGATCAAAGATTTCTCCAAACTTTCAGAAACTTCTTTATCGACGATGCTAGGTGATCTTGATTTCTCGATTTCCTTTTCCAATTCCATTTTATCACTAGCAATGCTCGGTGATTTCGAACGATCTTCGGATTTCTTTTCGTCCGAGACTTGACTGCTTATGCTAGGTGATTTCGATCGATCGATCAAGTCTTCCACTTTTTGTGAAATGCTTGTCACGCTAGGTGATCTTGATTTATCGACTATTATTTCTTCACCAGGAGGAGAGGTTTCTTTTTTAACATCAATCTTCTCCATTTCACTGATTAATTCTTTCGCATCTTTCATTTTATCACTGGAAACATCGACGGATGCTGGTGCTGCTGCTTTTAATTCGGGAATCAATTCTTTAACGATCTTTTCTTCAGGTTTTTCTTCAGGCATACTCGGTGATTTAGCACGATCTAATTTAACGTCCTCGATTTTTTTCGTATCCTGAATTTCACTAACAACACTTGCTGATCTAGATCTGTCAACAGTTAATTCTTTTTCAATGCTGGCTGACTTTAACTTTTCACGTTCGATTTCTTCCGCCTTATCGCTAACAACGCTCGGTGATCTCGATTTATCGTCCTCAACCTTCACAGATTTTTCATCGGAAATACTTGCAGATTTCTCTTCAGTTGTAATACTTGGTGATCTCGATTTATCGATCGATTCTTTTTCATCGATCTTTTCCGAAGGAGATATACTTCGTGATTTGGATTCCTCCTTCAATTTATCCTCGGAAATACTCGGCGATTTTGGTTTCTCAAGCAATTTAGCTTCCTTTTCAATTTTTTCTAATTCATCTTTTTTATCCGCTTCTTTTTCTTCTATAACTTTGTCACTAACTATACTGAGAGATCTTGGTTTCTCGACCTGATCTATTTTTTCTAGATCGACTTTCGCTTCGATTTTTGTTATATCCAATTGTTTTCCTGGTTCTTCTTTAACAACGCTCGGTGATCTCGATTTTTCAGGAACTATCGTCTCTTCCTTTTCTAATTTTTCACTGACAATTTTTTCGAGTTGTTCCTTTTCAGAAGGTTTCTCGATACTAGGCGATCTAGATTTATCAGTTATATCTTTTACGTCAGATTTGTCGATCTTATATTTTTCCTCGTCTAGTTTTAAAGATTTTTCTTTATCTAGAATACTTTCTTCAATCTCTTTTGCACTTATAACGGCAGTAATAGGTTTTTCTTCTTCAGGCGATTTTTTAACAGTCTTCTCGTCAGCAAGGCCTTCTATGCTAGGACTCGGTGACTTTGATTTGTCGACTTTATCAACAATTTGTACGATTTCCTTTGGTTTTTCTTCCTTCAAAATTTCAGTCTCTTTCGTTTCTTTCATCGAAATATCTACAGGAACTTTTTTCTCGGTAGGCGATTTTGCAAATATCGTTTCGGTCGGTGAAACGTCTTCTGAACGACTAATTTCCGGAGATTTGGAAATTATAGCTTCGAGTATCTTTTCGTGTTTTTCTTCGATCGGTGTCGAAGTGGGAGTCTTTATTTTAGAGATTTCTTCTTTGGATAAGTCTAGAAGTGAGGGTATCTTACCAACTTCCTTTTCTGGACTACTTGCTTTACTAACAGCTTCCTCTTTTGGAGACACTGCTTTACTGATCTTTTCGATCTCATCTTTGACCGAAGATATGATTTCTTCTTTTTTGTCAAGCTCTTTAACCTTTTCAACTTCAGTGCTAGGTAAAACACTTTCAATATCCTTTACTTTACTGTCTAGTTTCTCTAAACTGTCTTCCAAATCTTGTGAACCACGTGTATCGAGTGGAGACTTTTCCAAACTATCTTCAGGAGTGATCTTTTCGGTATCTTTAATTTCGGTTACTGATTTTTCCGAAATACTATCTTTTTCAGAAATACTAATTTCTGATTGAATTGAATCTTTGTCCAAAAGCAAAGAATCTTTATCAGGTGTCGTTTTGATCGATACTTCCTTCAAGGAATCATCAGGTGTGACGGGTTTAGCGTAAATAATTGTTCCTGTTGGACAGATGTCCATTTCTTGTCCACCATCTTCGCTACTTGCTGTTACTAACATTCGATGAACAACTCCACTATCTTCTGCAACTTTTGATGGTTCCACTTTTTCTACTTCTTTTACTTCAATTTCTTCTGTGCTTTCGGATGGTTTTAGATCCTTGCTTATCTCGATTGTTGGCTCTTCTTGGAGACTCCTCTTCTTTCGAATTTTTACTTCTTCTTCCTCCTTTTCAATTGTTTCATCAATAACCTCTGCTTTTGGCTCGATCGCACGTCCTGTTGCATCAGTTAATTTTTCATCTTTGAGAATCTTGTCTTCTGGTATTTCTTCTTTTTCAGCTTTTGGCTCAATCGCACGTCCTGTTGCATCAGTTAATTTTTCATCTTTAGGAATCTTGTCTTCTGGTTTTTCTTCCTTTTCAACTTTTTCTTCTAATTTTTTATCAATAATCTCTGCCTTTGGCTCAATTGCACTTCCCGTAGCATCAGCTAATTTTTCGTCCTTTGAAACTTTGTCTTCGGGTTTCTCTTCCTTTAAAATTTTTTCTTCTAATTTTTTATCAATAACCTCTGCTTTTGGTTCGATCGCACGACCAGTACCGTCTGCTAGTTTCTCGTCCTTGAAAAGTTTATCTTCGAGTTTTATTTCTTTCTCCTCCAATTCTTTCTCAATAACCTCTGTTTTAGGTTCAATAACGCGACCAGTAGCGTCTGCTAATTTTTCCTCCTTAGGAAGTTTTTCTTTTTTCTCAACTTTCTCATCCAATTCCCTTTCAATAATTTCTGCTTTAGGTTCTATAGCACGACCCGTAGCGTCCGCTAATTTTTCCTCCTTAGGAACTTTTTCTTCAAGTTTTTTCTCATCTTCTTTCTTAACTTCTTTCTTAACTTCTTCCTTAACTTCTTCCTTAACTTCCTTTATCATAGGCTCGATGTCTTTTTCGACGATATCTTTCATCTCTGGTTTTTTCTCTTCTTTTGGTGAAAACGCCAAAGCTTTTGGCTGAATATCTTTTTCCTCTACTTCTTTAATATCCTTCTCAGGAGTAATCTTCTTATCAGAAACACTCGTTACTTCAGTAGTCGCTTTCTCATCTTTCATTTGTTCGGTTTCAATTTCGGTCGAGATTAGTACAGCTTTTTCTTTCAATTCTTCTACTTCTTTCTTCTCCTCGTCTTTCTCTTTTATTTCAGCTGCCTTTGCAATTTCCTCTATCCCTTTTTCTTCCACTACCATTTTTGCTTCCTCCTTAACCTCCAATGATAATTTTCTTGGAATTACCTCCTCGATGGTAACACTTTCCTTACGATATGGTTCCTTGATTAAATCAGTCTCCATCTTCTTTTCATCTTGTTTATCTTTTATCGATGGCTCTTCAGCTTCCTTAACTTCAAGTTCTTTTAATTTCACCTCTTTTTCAACAACCTTTATTTCTTCTTTCTTAACATCCTTTATTTCAGGCTTCTCTTTAGCTTCATCCAGATATTTTTCCGTAGTATCTACGATCTCAGATATTTCGGACGTTTCCGTTTCTACTGTTATATCATCAACGATCTTTTTCGTCTCGTCTTTTTCAATGATTTTGTCAACATCCTTGACCATCTCGATGTCCTCGATATCCTTCTTTCCAGCTTTTTCCTTGACCTCCTTCACGAACTTTTCCTCAGCCTCGATGACGTCACTCGTGTCGTCTTCTATCTCTTCCTCTGGTTCTTCTTTCTCTTTTCCAATTTGTGGTATCTTTTCAGTGACTGCAATTTCCTGAACTTTGTATTCTTGTTCCACAGCTTCGAAATCGTCAATAACGTCTTTTTCATGTTCTTTTGTAATTTCAGGTTCCTCTTTTTTCTTTATTTCTAACTGAATCTTACGATCCTCAGATAACAAAACTGCTCCTGAAGGAATAGTAACGAAACCATCTTCGACTTCTTCCATACTTTCAGGAGTTAAAACTTTCTCATCTTTATATTTTTCTTCTTCTCTTGTTGTAGGAACTTCTTTCTCTTTTTCTTCCTTTTCTTTAACTTCTTTTTCTTCTACTTCTTCTTTTTTTGGACTGGTAATCGATTTTTTCTTTTCTACTAGAACTTCGGATTTCACAGCATCCATCTTTTCATCCTCGGGTGATTCTTTACGAAGATCACGAAACTGTTCGCTTGAAATGTCATATACCATCTCTTTTGTAATTTTTCTCTTAATAATAATCTCTTCGATGATTTCAATGATGATTCTCTTTGGTACAGCTTTCCTTATTGAAATCTCTTCGATTATTTGAACGGTAATTCTTTTGCCTTTTGTAATATACTCATTAATAATGTATTCCTCGATTTCAATGATCTTTTCCGGTGTAATAGTCGTTTTAAGAAGATTAAGATCGTCAACTACACTTTCTGGATTAAGTTTCTTCCTTATGATGATTTCTTCGATTATATAGATCACACGTTCTCTTGGTACACGTTTAACAATAGTAATATATTCAATAATCTCGATAGTGATCTTCTTTTTCTTAGTAATCACGAGTTCTTCGATGATTTCTTCTAATGGAGTTTGTTTGTTAAGTACGTCCTTGATTTCCACAGTCAATTCTGGTAACTTCTCTTTCATCGGTTCTTTCATTAATTCTTCGTCGTAAACTTTCTCAGTTGTGAATTTTGGTGAAGTCGGTGCGGAATCTGGTGTAACCATAACGACTTCAGCTTTTGCTGGTGATACTTTTTGCTCGAACGTTATAATTGGTTCTTCTATCATTTGTTTTGGTTCTTCACTGATAGACGGTCGTTTGGCTACATCCTTTACACAAATCTCTTCGAGACCTGCCTTCATCACGTCTACTTTCGTCGTATCCTCGACTTCCTTCATTTCTTCATAAATATGATCGTCCTTCATTATTTCTTCGCAGATCTTTTTAACATCCTGCATGTCCTTGATCTGATCTTTCACCGGCGAAATGATTTCTTTTACATCTTTGACAACTTTTTCAGAAGGTTTTTCTTCAATCTCGATCGCTCCAGGTTTCTCGTAAATTGGTAAAGGCTTAGCGATTTCTGTAGGCATCTCTTTGGCAAGGCTGATCCTTGCAGGTACAGGAATATCCTCTACGATCGGTTTGAATACTTTGTCCTCAAGTTTGGCTAATTTTTCTTCAGCTTCGATAGTTTTATCACTCGGTATCGAGATCTTTCTTTCGGTCAGTTCCTTCTCGGAAGGTTTGTCGAATAATAATTCGCGAGGAAGAAAATCGTCTTCTTTTAATACTTCAGCGACTTTTTTCACAATTTCAACGACATCTTTAGGCTTGTCGTCAATCACTATACCTGCTGATCCAGCGAGAACTTCACCAACATCACGGACGGCTTCCTTAACGTCCTTGATAGGACCAACATGCTCTTTTTCATATTCCTCTTCAAATTCCTCATCCTTAGGAATATCGAACTTTACTTTTTCTGCTTCCTTTATTTCCGATAGTCCTTCGATCTGAGGTTTTATCTCTTCTAATTTTTCAACTACTCCTTCCAAAGTATCCTTGACAATGTCCTTCGTAAGGGCTGCTTCGTGACGTAAAAGATCTTCTTCTTCTTCAATTTTTTCTTCCAAAGATTCTAAAGAATCTCTAAGGCTGTCCTTCACTGTTTTGAATTTCTTCGAAGCTTCCTCGAGAAGAGCTTTTACTTCTTCAACGTCCTCTCCAACTTCCTCTTCCTTCAAAAGATCTTCCTCCTTCACGAATTTTTCCTTTACTTCTTTTTCTTCCTTTTCCTCAATTTTCTCGGTCGGTGAAATGATTGGCTTCCCTGTGATAACTTCGACCTTATCAGACACTTTCACTTCCAAATCTGGCACGCTACGTCTCTTGATATCTTTCGATTCTTCTTCTTCAATAAAAGCTACGGTTTCCTTGATGGCCGCAACCTTAACTTCTGATGGCACAGGCTGAACCTTTTCGAATATTTCCGGCTTTTCAGCTACTTTGCCTATCTTCGGGAACATTTTTTCCATATCCACCTCCTCCAAACTAATCTTTTCTTGTATCTTTGCCTCCTTCGGAGAGCTAGATTTCGACGATGACTTATCCTCCTCCTTTTCAGGCTCTCTTTTCGTTTTCTTCGTCAATTTATCGATTCCCTTCTCAAATTTATCAGCTACCTTACCAAAGAAACTAAAAACACCTTTTTGTTCTTTGACTGGAGGTGTTGGTTCTGGTTCCTTGATTTCTTGAGTAGGTGGTGCTACTATTCTTTCTTCCTTATCCTTCTCGAAATCCATTCGATATAGTTTCGGATCGACTTCTTCGTGGACCGGAAGATCGGCTACTTCATCCGGAGTTTTGACAATGTCTCGTTGCAAGCCTTGAACAGCTTGTCGAACGTCGAAAACTTTTACGTCGGGTTTACTTGCCGGTGGAACAGCCTGAGGAATAATTTCTTTTTCAACTTTAACAGGAGCATCCTTCTCTTTGACTTCCTCGATAACATGTTTCTCATCGATATCTTCCTTTATTTCATCGAGAGGAATACGTTCATCTTCGGGAAGTGTCGGAGCAGTAGTCGTGGCACCCGATTCCAATGTCGAGATACGTTCCTGAGATTCCTCTAATTTTTCAAGAACATGTTCTTTTTGATCCACTTCAGGTTTCATGTCTGTGTCGGTCGTCTTTTTTTCGGAAGAATCCAATTTATCTGGACTCAAACTGGATGGTTCTTTCGTAATTTCTTCGCTGTCTTTTTTACCAGAATCATCTTTATCTTCTGGTTTTGGTGTAATTTCTGGAGCTGACGTAAGAACAGGTTTCTCCTCTGGCGACACTTTCTTTTCCTCTTTTGTTGGGACCTTTTCGACGATCTCTGCTTTCTTCTCTGGACTTTCGACCTTACCTTTTTCTGGTTCCTCTTTTTCTCCCTTTTCCTTCGTTATTTCCATAGTATCTTTTAATATTTTAGTCTTCTCAGATTCGGCTTCATCCAAAATATGCTTTTGTTCGCCTTCACCACTCTGAACAGAGTCCTCAGTATATATCTCTTCCTTTTCAACAATCAAATATTCGTCTTCTTCCGTTAATTCTTGACTTTCTTTTCGAGAACTTTCCTTCTTTGGTACGTCTTCGATCTCAGCGGTTACGTCTTCCTCCGTCATGTCTTCTTCCTTTTTATCGGTAGCTTCAGCAGTAATTTCGTCGTCTCCTTCAAAACGATCGTCCTTTCTAGTCTCGATTCTCTCTGCTTTTTGTAAAACTGCCTCGATCTCTTCAACGACTTCACGTTCTTCTTTCAAATCAGCTAAAACTTTACTTTCGATAGAATCCAAAGAAATGTCTTCGGATTTTTCAATTAGACTTTTTTCAACAAGCTTCACCGTTGATTCTGGTTCAACTCCAGAAGGTGTGGATACTGTTGAAGAATCCGTAGTACCCTTATCTCCCTTCATCTTTCTGATGACACCATCTTTGTCTGACTTCACCGAAGCAGTTGGTGTACTTCGGGTCGATTTTGCAGGACTACCAGGAACTCTTGCTTTACTTGGGCTAACTGGTTTAGGCCTTCGACTGATCGGCTTCCTATCCATTGGCTTTGGTTTAGCCGACACCTTGACGACTGCAACAGGTGCCTCCTTCGCAACCGATTTTTCAATATTCTTTTGCTCCACAACCTTTCGATTGTTCGCATCTTTGGCACTCTTTGCCGGTGCCGTTGATACTTTTGTAGTTGGTCGTCCTCTAGGTGCAGTTTTCGATATTTCAGTTTTAGTTGCAACACCGTTCATTGTTTTCTTCGGTGTCGTCGGTGACGATTTAGAAGTATCTTTCTTCTCTGAACTCGGTGCCTTCATCTTTTTTTCCAGTGACTTTACCTTCGATGGAACATCCGCTTTTATAGTTTTGCTAACCTTTGGTTCCTTCGTCTTCTTTACTGGCTCAGCTTTTACTTTTGGTTCTTTCGTAGGAACTACTTTTTCTGTTTCCTCCTTGATTACTTCCTTTTTACTAACTTCTTCGTCACGTTTCTCCTGTTTCTCTTGTTTTTCAGGTTTCTCAGCTTTAATCAAGTCTTTTTTCACTTCCTTCTTCGTCTCTTTTAACTCTTTCTCGATTTTCTTTTCCTTAGCATCTACATCGATCTTCTTATTCTCCGCTAATTTCTTTGGTTTATCTTCTATCTTTCTTGGTTTCGATATTGGTATTATAGGTGTTGATTGCGGTACCGGCTTCGTTGATATTTCCTCAGCAGCTTTTAGTGCCTTGATTTCTGGCGATTCTTTTTTCTCTTTCTTAATATCGATTTCTTTGATTTTCTTTGATTCCTTCTCGATCAAACCAAACTTTTGTTTCACTGGTTTGTCCTTCAAAGTTACTAATGACGTTGATGGCGAAAGACTCTTTGCCGAACAAATTGGATGCTTCAAAAACTCCAAATGTTTTAATCGTTCAAATCCTTCAAAGATTTTATGTTGTGGTGTACTTCCGGGAAATAAGATTCTAGTAATATTATCTTCAGGATTAGCGGGTTGCCAAACTAGTAATGCGCATATTGAAACAAGATTTTGAATAGGAAATGTTAAATTATTCGAATCCTTTTTATGTGTCCCAGCGAATAATTTCACGTCCGACGTATGCCACTTTGCCAAGAATTCTCTTACTTCTCGACTTTCCTTGTTCGGGCTTAGAACATACATATCTAAAGTACCATGTCCAACTTTATGATAGAGATTGATTGGATCTGGATCTCTGTAGCATGGATGAGCACGAAGATTGATGTGTCGAAGATTGACGACCATTTCTTGGCCGACATCTATCAGATTTAATATCAGAGGATCAATGTCTTTGTCGCCGTCTGGTGAATGAGATTGTCTTCTTTCCTAAAAGTCAAAGTCAATATTTTATTATATTATATAAAAAAAATCATATAATAGATATTTTCAATAAAGATTTTCACTTACAACAAGGTTACAGAAGAAATGACCAATCTGTGGATAGACATGCATCTCCTTTTTCTTACGAAGAACACTGGACATGCCACCGATATTACTATTATTTATCCTAGTTAACAAAACAGCGTCGAGGCGATCCAAGTGCCTCGTGAAATCCCAGAAGCACGCTTTTCTCGCGAAACCACCGTCGACGAGCATGTTGAAGCCGTTTATACCAAAGAGAGCGGCATCACCTTGCCCACCAGGGAAGACGTATAAAGTAGGATGGCTGAACCTGATGTTTCCAACGACATCGGACGGTTCCATCAGTTGATCTAATGTTTGAGCGATTAGGTATTGCCCGACATAATTTGTGAAGCTCGTGATCGTTGGTACTCCAGCTGTTAAAACATCATCTGGATTTACTCGAACTCGGCAAGACCTATAACAAAGCAAATAAATTATTTTATTCATTTAATCAAAAAAAAAGTATCAATAATTGTCCTTCGTAATAAATTGTTTTTTACCTAGTACAAGATTCTTTGGATAATCGTGTAGTTGTCCAATCGCCGACACCCGCACAATGAATATCTACCGTAACGCTATTCTCGTAGGCACGAAGGACTCTTTGCACTTCATGTTCGCTGAACGCATCAAGAAAGTCAGCAAGACTAAAGGTTCCATCCTAGATGGACGAAGGATATTGGCCAGTGATAGTAAATGTAACTTGCGATCGAAACTCTATCGTTAATCTTGAATGATTTATTACCTGTAAAATCCAAGAACCATTGCCACCGAACGTATATCCAGCATGTATGATGTGTCGATGCTTCGTAAAACTTGCGAGAAGATTTCGAATGCATTGTAATAACGTATTCGTTTGCGGGTGTATCAAAACCTCCGTAACAAGGTTTTCCGTGGCATATTGAATCAGACGTTCTCCTGTATGAAAGGAAAAATAATAAAAATCAAAATGACACAACATTCAATCAATTTTATCGATTCTCCTTAGATTTAATCTTCTTACCATTTCGAGCTTCCTCGCCTTCGGGAGCTTGTGCTATCAGCGCTTGTAATTCTTTCTCCAAGTCTACGTGACAGCTGTCTTTGTCCCATGACAGGAAACCTAAAAGCATAGAAATAATAAAAAAAAAAATTAAAAGAAACTAAAGACATTTCTTAGAAATTCGACAGATTTCATTCGAATGTCAAATCGTTCCTTTATTTTTATCTTCTCGAGAAAAATTGAGTTGAGCTTTTACTAGTTTTTTTTTTAGTTTTACTATTTTGTCCCCAATTGTATGTGTGTGTATTACACTATAGTACTTTCAAAGTATTCAAAATGTTCCATTTTCTCTTCCCTTTCCATTTAAATAGACAAAAATTGTTTAATCCGATATTGATCATCGTTTTGATATTGTTAACTCAAAAGAAATAGAAGCATGTTAATATTAATCACGCGTCTGGGTTGCGTTATAATATTAATAATAATGTCATGAAAGCTAGTGCGGTTAACAATAAGAGCGAATAGAATAGTGGGTCATAAACCACGGCAGAGACTTTTGCATCGGTTAGGTTTCATAAAGTGACGGCTGTCCGGGAGTTGGATGATGTAAGGTTAAGGTTAAGAAGGTGAGGACTGTCTTAGTAAGATCCAAGTTATAAAGGCACCACTTGATCGATGTGAAAAAAATGAAGCAGCAACAATGCCTTTGAAACAATCGTGGAGTATCACTCGTCCTCACTACCTTCACAAATAAATTTTATCGATTTATAGATTAAAAAGAAAAAAATTTATTAAAAAAAAATTTATTATAACAAATGAACATTAAATTCGAGACAAAATAATTCAAAATAATTGCTGAATCACGAATCAATGTAATCCCAAGTTCGTAATAAGATTAAGAAATGTATCCATCGAGAAACATGGTTTATCTTAAAAGTTGCTAAAGAGGGATATACTCGTTCAAGGGGTCGTTCCGTGACGTCACGAACACCGCACCCCGTCACGTGGTTCCTTGCCAGTCAGCAATCGATCGTCGCGTATTCTGCACCCACCTTCCGACTTCCAAGCCTAACTTGAATTCACTTTTTCACTCGATATTGCACCATCAACATGAATCCAAATGTCCAAAATAGATAAATCAAAATTAATAAAAAGAAAAAAGGAAAAAAATTAAACAAGAAAAGGACAAACAAATTTTATATATAGAAAAAATATATATAATTATATACTATTTTTTATTTATCGTATATCGTTCAGGTATATAAAAATAATCAACTCAAAATGAGACCACGTTAACTTTTGGCGTCACTTTTTCTCTTTCGAAGATTTTCTCACAGTTACTCATTATCACGAACATTGGAATAACGAAATTGATATAATTACTTCGTTCGGGCCATTTCCTATAGAATTAAAAGATTGATGAGGCAGTAGAATGGAACGTAGCCGGTTGCTAAGGGAGTTTCGAACAGCTCTCGCGTAATTCTATATGGTTGTGTATACACATCAAGAGAAAGATAGAGACAGAAAAGAGATAGAGAGAGAGAGAGAGAAAAAGAGAGATTAAGAGAAAAAGAAAGAATGTCTGACAGCTCCGAGACGTTGCTTGGCAACTGTGGTATCAATCAATGACGAAGAGAGACGGGAATTAAGAGATCGTCGGACAATCCGTTGAGTAAGAAAACAAAAAAAAAGAAAAGGTAATTGTTCTCAAGCCACGTGAAAGATTTTCAATTCTCTCCCACAATTTTAATTAAAACAATCACTAATTAAGGAAAACAACTTCCCTTTTTGTTTTTTCAAATTTTTTATACTTTTCCTTTATTTCTTATTGATGATATCCCTATACTAATTAGAAGCAATTAAGCAAATTAATTAAATGACATTTCGATTGTAATTAAAAATAATCTTTTCAGTAATGGAAAATGATCGTCTTTAGTAAGAGCGAAGAAAGAAATCGGTGATGCTATAAATCCGTATTTCGTGATGTACCGACCAACCGTGTAGTGCTGTGTATGTCAAATGGATCGGAAGCCCTGGGGGTGATTCAAGAGAAGCCGTGCCTCAAGGGTCATGCCTCTTAATGCTTACCATCGGCCCCGTCCACTTTATTCGCAATAAGTATTCGCTGTATCGAACGTACTAGCTATAACTATACCTCGGTGTTTTCTTTTATCGACGTTCTCTGAAAATGAACGAGACCATCGAACTTATAAAAGTTTTCCTGATTTAAATGAACGACGACAAAGTAAATATCTTTCCTGTATTTGAATATAAAAGAAAAAAAATTTTCTTTCTTTTTTAAAGTTTTATATTCCTTGTATCATTGATTCGATCTATCAAAGGTGGAAAATTTGAAATACCGCAATACGTTAACTTATTTAATATAATGTTCACAACGACACAGTATTCACGATTACTCGCAATTAGCAAGTGTAAATGTCGCTCGTTAGCTTGAAACTTATATGAAGGTGAACGCAAGAGAGAAAAAGAGAGAGAGGACATGTAGGGACAAAATGTTCGTTCGATGTTACATATGTATATATTACGAAACAAGTTCATTAATGATTTAAATCCTTTAATCAATGTTCTATCTATACGTATATATGTACAAACGATACTTGTCCATAAAAATAAATATAAAAATAAATAGCTGTATTTTATTTTATAATAATTTTCTTTGATTTCTAGTTAATAATGACAGAGACTCATTAAAGAATATACAACATTTAAAGAATAAACACATATACAATTGTTAAAGAAAATGTACTTAAAAAATGAACGTATTTTTCTTTATTTTTTAGTCTTCTATTTAGTATTCCATTTTAATGTTTTCCATTTTCCTTTTTGTTTTCATATTTTTATTCTTTAAGAAAAATCTCCTTCACACTTTTCCGAACATATCGACGTATGTACGGAAATTAAGGACACGGTCATATTCGTTTCTCATACCATACTTTGTGACATTTTGTTGACGTTTCTATCTTTTACATTTAAGTAGAACGTTGTATCTAAGTAGGTGAATACCGAGTGAATGAGAAACATACAAAAGCTTCCTACGTCAGTCTCTAATCAGTTGTACTTTCTATCGGTTATGGTAAGTTCTCTTAAAATGACAAAACTATATAAAAAAGTTAATTCGATTAGATACATTTCATTGCTCGATTATTAATATTAATTCTAATTAATAAAAAATTGTATAAATTATTTTAATAAACGTAATCGAGTCAAAAAAATTTTTTAATATACGACTGAACTATTGTTATCTTTCTCTCTCTCTCTCTCTCTCTCACTCTCAGTCCTAAGATAAAATAATGTATTAATTGTTAAATTGATAACTACTTATAATCATCATAATGTAATAACATTAAAGTTAGAACATCTTTTATATCTCTCTTATTCCTACGATTAATTATATTAATCTCTTTAATCGATATGACCAATTAAAAATCACTTCCATCTAACTACATGATTAGGCAAGTTAGAACACTGTCAAAAGTACGTTCGAATTATTGCTAATTCTTTAATTCTTACTATTAATAATATTAAGATTTAAATTAATAATTACAATTTTAAATCATTTCAATCTACTTAACTTATTTATATGAGTTAGAAAATGACTAAACGTACGAATAAACAATCGTGATCTTTCTCGTTCTAATGTCTTAGATATAACCGAAGTAATAAGTAAGTACTTTCCAGCACGAATTCGCGAATTTCTTCAGTAGACCGAAAGGCGCATTATGGATTAGTATCCTAAGCTAAGTATAGGACAAAGTCGGCTCGGCTCTTCTTTCTCCGTCGCAAGCTTTAACCCTCTCTTTTCTCTATTCCTTATTACGAACACTTCGTTCTCTCTCTCTCTCTCTCTCTCTCTCTCTCTCTCTCTTTCTCTCTCTCTCTCTCTCTTTCTCCTTCTCTCTTCCTTTGACAAGCTTGCATTTCTCGATTTGCATTTGTCTTTCTTATTTCTCTTCTTCTTTTTTTCCCTTTCGAGAAGACGGCAACGACGACAACGGATGCGGGGAATGCTGGGTTTGGCCCACCTATGTTTAGACGTGTTCTTCCCTCCTCTTCCTCTGCCCTCCCCTACGTACACTTATGCATGGAGGATTCGAGAGAAAGAGTCTATATTTTTTACGAAAGACATCGTACGGTTTGAAAATTTTTCTTCAACGTCAAACAACATTTACGAAATTTTTATCGTTTTAATTCGTATTGATGAATTAATATTAAATTTTAACTATCTATAAATCAATTTTTTGTTCGTGCCTACAATAAAAATTATATAGGATAGAAGTTATAAGTACTATTATACTATTTTAAGTATAACTTTTATTTAAAAAAAAAAAAAAGGCTTTGAATATAAGGAAACGATTAATATTTTGTGTCGATAAAATGAATCGGACTAAAAAAAAAAAATATATATATATATATGTATGTATGTATGATAAGTGTACGACTTCTAAATTACGCATATGACGTTATACTATCGTCGTTTTAATATTATAGCGATTAGTCATTATAATATAATAGATAGTATTGTCATAATACAGGATATAAGATCGACATATTTAAATAGATAATATTTTTATAAAGATATACACATATGTATAAAATACAATACCAGTACTTAATGCAACACTATTGATATTAAATTTATCATTATAATGATATCTTCTTCATAATATAGAAGATGAAAAATTGGTAAAGAAAAAGAGAGAGAGAGAGAGAGAGAGGATGTATTTTAATAGGATTTTAACAGAATAGGTGTTTTAATAGGATAGGAAATTAAATGATTCTACGACGTAAATAATCTATTCTGATCTAGAGATGTTGACCCTACTAATATTTACAATAGTATATTAATGTATCATACAGATGATATCGAGAATATTCATTGGAGATATCCGATCCGTAAATTAAAACATACACACTGTATGTTTAGTATTAATATAAACATATATGAATTCTATTACACGTACATACAATTATTTTGTATCTATATAACTCATTCAATTAAAATTTACCTCGAAGATAAATAAATATCGTTAATTTTTTTCAAATCTTATAATACCTACCACAATTACTTCTTTTGCCGTAGAATAATTAATACCATGTAA